TTTTGCGCGAATTTTGAAACGTCAACTCGAAATGCAAAAATTTGTCACCACGAGGAATCGAACTAGGGACCCCTTTTCTGGTATTCAGAGGGCCGTTCAGGAAAAATGAACCATGCTTCTGTGGTCCCCATATGTGCCCCAATGTCATGCAAGAAACCATTTTGAAAAAGCTTGGCACACCCTGAACGACCTCCCTTGTGAGAACAGAGGCTGCCCCTGTTCTCAGTTGAAATACTAAAGAAGAGTGAGAGAGAAAGCTCAGGTTTTTCGGACGGAACATAGCGAAATGGCAAGAGGAGACCAATTAACTGAAGTCTCCCCATTGGTTTTACAGCAAATTCTCTGAAGAGAAAGCTTACAAGATTAGTAAATAACGTAGAAAAGTAGAAATGGTGTAGCTCTTAAGAATGTTCTCTACGAAAATGTCATTTAGAGCGAAGTTACGGTCGCTGTGACGAAAAATAACGAAAAAAATTTCTCTCTTGGGAAAAACCAAATTCCCGAAAAGTTATAACGTCACAAATTATGGCATCTAACAATAGCTGTACATGTACACTCGTAGGAGTTCAATTTGGTTGGGATGGATCATTGACGAATTGCACTTGGAATCAGTGTGGATGGATGGATACCAACTCTAAGACAGGTTTCACCGACATGGCTCAGTGTGTAGTAAGTCAATACAGGTAAGCAAGTCCTTCAGATTTTATTAGCATATAACTTCGCACTGGCACTGATTGCCTTCTTTCATTTCACCTGTGTTCCTCATTGTTAAAAAATGCTTCCATTAAAGCACTCAGTGTTGTCCAGAAAAAACGGGCAACGTTCACTGCGCCAACGGAGCCACCACTCAAGGGGAAAACATAGCTGATCTAGGAGGTGAGCGCTTTAAATTCGAAATGAAAACAAAACTCTTTCTCGCCATTTCCGTATAGAATAGAACAGGTCCTGCTATGCTGGTAAGCTGCTCGAAAAGTGAAACTGTAAGACTGCGAGTCAGTGACAGAAGTTTCCCACAATTGAACAAAGCCCTACTTGACACACATACTTTTTACGTTAAACTTCTTATTTCCCTCCACTATTCTTTGTGACGGTTGCATTACCTCTACTGGCTATTTATCTCATTATTCATCCCGTTACATTTGAAGTGTTTCGAGGAAAATACAGTGAAATTTTGTTCAATACAAAAAGAGCAGGAGAGGCAAGAGCAGTTTTCGTAAGGGTGGGACGAAATTGTGAACTAGAGCTTTGACTATTATAAGGTTTCATGGAAAGAAATGTAAAGACGAACGTCATAGTTTCACTAAGATATTTAGTTGGATATGCAATAGAACAGTATCGTTGGTAGACCCTTGTGGCCGAAAAAAAAGAAGAACGTTAAATGCCACGCAACAATCAGGGTCACTTGTCCGCTGTACCATTCGGAAATTTTCACCAGCCCCTTCCCTCCTCCTCTTGAGGGCTGCTTCCACCACCATCAACTTTAGAGGGTGGAGATAAATATGTCCAAAGAAACGGCAAACGCACCCGTATTCTCTACTTCGGGCCACTTTCTTAAAGGCTTCGTCCAAATCTTCGAAACCCCATCAGAACGATTTCCACTGCGAACAGAACTCTTGGGGAAGTTTCAAATACACCCCCCCCCTAATTGAACTTGGTAAAGCGGACGGTTAACCCTTCACGCGCTAACTCCCGTAAAAAGCTTTTACTCTTCATATAGTTTCGAGCACAATGTGCAAAAAGCCTAGCGAGGAAGGTTGTCGCTGAGCCTAACTATCTAACGCGCAAGACTCTCAAAAGTTAATCTAAGACGACCGGCACGAGGGCTCTCAGAGTTCACCACTCTCATTCAGGGCGAAGGTGGGCCTCGCTGAAAGGAACTAGGCCGGCGAGCTAACCTCTGACGTCTTCTTCCTATGCGTAATATGATATGCGTCCAAGTGTCCCAACTACTCGCACATGCGGTCCGTCTAATCTTTACTAGGAGAGAATGTTCCGCATAGCTTAGCGTCACAATTTGCACTCAACGCGTTCTGCCTAAAATCTGTTTGAATGTTTGTTTTCGGATTAACAATGTTTGCTACTTCTTCTGAAGCAATCTCGCAGGGCAAAACGTAACACCAGACACCATCTTCGTTAATGAGACCTCTTTGGAGTTCTAGAAGCTGATCAGACTGGGAGCATCCACCAGCACATTTAGCTCATTTAAAACCGCTTTGGACAAGCATCTTACATCATAGCTCCTGTCTCTTGTTCTTCCTTTTTTCCTTCTGTGCCCAGTTTACTGCTCTTCATATTTGTTGAATGTTGTTTTACACAATAGATGTGTTTTGCTTATTACTTTGTGTTTTGTTTTTTGTTGTCGCACACGAGGCACACCCCGTGTAAATAAACAAATACAAAACAAATCCTTTTTACAGGTCCAGCAAGCAGCTTATAATGCTTATCGACAGTACATTAAAGAACAAGGGCATGAG